CCTCTTAACTGTGTCCAGTTCTGGTCGCCCTGTTATAGGAACGATGTTGTCAAGCTGGAGAGGGTTCAGAAGAGATTTACCAGGATGTTGCCGGGTATGGAGGCTTTGAGTTATAAGGAGAGGCTGGGACTTTTTTCCACTGGAGCATAGGAGGTTGGGGGTGGCCTTATAGAGGTTTATAAAATCATGAGGGGCATAGATAGGGTTAATAGGAGGTGCCTTCTCGTTAAGCTGGGGTATTTCAAGACTCGGGGGCATAATTTTAAGGAGAGAGGACAGATTTTTAAAAAAAGACATGGGGGCAATTTTTTTTTAAAAAGAGTGGTTCATGTGTAATGAGCTTCCAGAGGAAGTTGTGGATGTGGGGACAGTTACAACATTATTTGGGATAAGTACATGGATAGGGAAAGCTTTGGAGGGATATGGGCCAGGAGCAGGCAGGTGGGACTGGTTTAGTTTGGGATTAGGGGTCGGCACGGACTGGTTGGGCCGAAGGGTCTGTTTCCGTACCGTGTGACTCTCTCTCTCTCTCTCTCCCTCTCCTGCTGTGCAGTGCTATCTCCGTCGAGCTGTACTACATCTTCGCCACTGTGTGGGGTCGGGAGCAGTACACACTGTATGGGATCCTCTTCATTGTCTTCGCCATCCTGCTGAGTGTCAGTGCCTGCATCTCCATCGCCCTGACCTACTTCCAGCTGTCGAGTGAGGATTACCGCTGGTGGTGGCGCTCGGTCTTCAGCACGGGTTCCACCGGCTTCTTCATGTTCCTCTACTCCGTCTTCTACTACTTCAAGCGCTCAAACATGTCTGGGACAGTGCAGACACTGGAGTTCTTCGGCTACTCCGTCCTCACCTGCTACGTCTTCTTCCTCATGCTGGGCTCCGTCTCCTTCTTTGCCTCGCTGCAGTTCATCCGCTACATCTATGTCAACCTCAAAATGGACTGACCTCAGGTAATTCCACCTCCCCCCACCCAAATCCCCAGCACTTCATATGTGATATGCTCCACCCATTCTTGCCTTTCTTCCCCCATCCCTCATTTCCTGGACACATTTGAGTCTGAATGGCCTCCTTCTGGCCCTGTGTAATAGGCTGGAGGAGAGGGCTGAATGGTCTCTTCCTGTTCCTGTGTAATAGGTTTAAGGGGAAGGCTGAATGGCCGCCTCCTGTTTCCACATAACAGGCTCGAGGAATGGTCTTGAACAGTTGGAAGCTGAGCTGGATATCAAGCGTAAGAACAGCTGAGTGCCCAAAGATCAAAAAACTGGCATCACCGTTGTGATTTTCAGGAACTGGGAGGAGCTAAATTTGACAATGTCCAGGCAGTGGGTTTGGGGAGATGGAGAGCGGATGTGAGATAGTGACAGAGCCTCTGCACCCCACCATCCCCCTGCCCGCCCATCCGCCCACCCCTCCGATTCCCTGCCCTGTTCGATATCTCATGAACCCGGTCCAACAGAGGAAATCGACTGGAGGGTAGTGCATCAGTGCTACGGGGGAACAATACACTGGCCCCTCTTGTAGCTTACAGCTACAAGTTTGTGGGGAAAAGCATCTCTCAAATTTGATTGGGTTTTCTGAAGAGGTGACTAACGAGATAGACGAAGGCAGAGCGGTAGACTGGTTAGCAAGGGTAGATCACGTGGGATCGGTGCTGGGTCTGCTGTTGCTAGTCACTTACGTAAATGGTTTGGATGAGAATATGGGGGGGGTATGTTTAAGTTTGAGAATGACATCAAAATTGGTGGTGTAAGTGAACCATGATGAAGGTTACCTCAGAGTACAACAGGATTCTTGATCAGACGGGCCGATGGGCCGAGGAATGGCAGATGGAGTTTAATTTAGATAAACGTCTAACTGAGGTGCTGCAGTTTGAAAAGGCAAACCAGGACAGAACTTACACATTGGGGAGTGTTGTTGAGAGGAGACCTAGGGGGTGCAGGTACATAGTTCCTTGAAAGTGGAGTCGCAGGTAGACAGGGCGATGAAGAAGGTGTTTGGTATACTTGCCTTTGTTGGTCAGTGCATTGAGTATAGGAGTTGGGAGGGTCATGTTGTGGCTGTACAGGACATTGGTTAGGGCCACTTTTGGAATACTGCATTCAATTCTGGTCTCCCTGCTATAGGCAGGATTCTGTGAAACTTGAAAGGGTTCAGAAAATATTTACAAGGGTGTTGGAGGGTTTGAGCTACAGGGAGAGGCTGAATAGGCTGGGGGCTGTTTTCCCTGGAGCGTCAGAGGCTGAGGGGTGACCTGATAGAGGTTTATGAAAACATGAGGGGCATGATAAGGTGAATAGCCAAGGTCTTTTCCCCAGGGTGTGGGAGTCCAGAACTAGAGGGGCGTAGGTTTAAGGTGAGAGGGGAAAGGTTTAAATGGGACCTAAAGTGCAACTTTTTCACGCAGAGGGTGGTGCGTGTATGGAAGGAGCTGCCAGAGGAAGTGGTGGGGCCTGGTACAGTTACAACATTTAAAAGGCATCTGGATGGGTACGTGGATAGGAAGGGTTTAGAGGGATATGGGACGAGATTAATTTAGGATATCTGTCAGCATGGACAGGTTGGGGTGAAGGGTCTGTTTTTGTGCTATGTGGCTCTATGACTCTATATGTGAAAATAACAGGGTTGTTGTGCTGGGTGATTTTAACCAACCCCATATTGACTGGGAATCCCTTACAGCCCACATGTGGGTAGTCCAACAAGGGAGGGGGCTGTACTGGACCCGGTATTGGGAAATGTGCCCAGCCAAAGGTTCAATGTGGGAGCATTTTGGGAATAGTGACCATGATGCCTTAAGTTTTCAGAGTGGGATCTCGGATGAAGGTGTTCGATTGGGGGAAGGCTAACTATAAGCAAATTAGGCAGGGTTTGGTGAATGTGGGTTGGAGCAGCTGTTGGAGGGTCAATCCACATTTGACATGCGGGTGGGTGTCTTTGAAAGACCAGTTGGTTAGAGTTCAGGACAGGCATGTTCCTGTGAAAATGAAGGATAGGAATGGCCGGGTTCGGGAACCTTGGATGGCGGGGAAATCATCAGCTTAGTCAAAAAGAACAGGAAGCATACCTTCCTTCATCGGTCAGAGTGTAGGAGTTGGGACATCGTTACAGCTGGACAAGGCCTGAAAAAGTCCTACCAGAAACGTTAGAGATAACAAGGTGTCGAGCTGGATGAACACAGCAGGCCGAGCAGGAAAGCTGACGTTTCGGGTCTAAACCCCCATTTCAGAAGAAGGGTCTAGGCCCGAAACGTCACCTTTCCTGCACCTCTGACGCTGCTTGGCCTGCTGTGTTCATCCAGCTCTGCACCTTGTTATCACAGATTCTCCAGCATCTGCAGTTCCTACTATCTCTACCAGAAACGTTACTTGTTTCTCCGTCCACAGATGCTGCCAGACCTGCTGAGTTTCTCTAACATTGTGTTTGTTTCTGATCTTGCAGCCTCCCCAATGTTTTGCTTTGGTTCCGGGAGATGTTGGTGACCAGACACCTGGCTGAGGGTTTTGAGGAGCATTGGAGAAGAAGTGGGGCTTGGTGTCATAGAGTTGTACAGCATGGAAACAGACCCTTCGGTCTGAACCATCCATGCCGACCAGATATCCTGAATTAATCCAGTTCCACTTGCCCGTATCCCTCAAAACCTTTCCAATTTCTGATGCCCTTCCCCGATTAAGAAACAGTCTGCACTTCTATACCTCCAGCCAAAGTGGTAAACTTCAGTTTCCCAAATTGTGTTGCGTCTGCCGCTTCTTTGCCCAATGCCCTCAGTTCCTTCATCCTGATTGTTAACGTGAATAGTTATGGTCCCAACACGGACCCCTGTGGAACTGCACCTAATCACTGTCTGCCGTCCTGAAGTAGACCCCTTTATCGCCGCCCCTAACAGATTTGTCATGCGTGACCTTCCCTTGACCAAGCCATGCTGACTCAGCCCTATTTTACAATGAATGCCACCGTCTCTCCCTTCATATTGGACTGTAAAACCTTCCCAGCAATTAAGGTCAGGCTAATCGTCCTGTACCTTCCGGTCTTCTGCCTCCCTCCCTCCCTTAAACGGGGCGTTGCATTAGCCATATTCCAGTCCTCTGGGAGCCTCCCTGACTCCAGTGATACCTGAAAGATCACCACCCATGCCTCCACAATCCCCTCGGCTGTCTCCCTTCAGAACTCTTGAGGTGTAGCCCATCCGGTCTGGGTGACTTACCCACCTTCAGACCCTTCCGTTTCCCCAGCACCTCCTTCGTGACGGCCACTGCACTCCCCTCTGCCCCCTGACTCCCTCGAACTTCTGGGATGCGACCGATGTCTTCCCCTGCGAGAAATGGTGCAAAGTGCCTGTTCCGTTCCTCCGCCAACGGAGAGTGGTGTGATATCCAGAGCTCATGGACAGGCGGAGGCAGACTCTGCCAGTGACTGAGGGATTTGCTGCAATTGGGGGAGTATGGAGATCCCAGAGGGCGGAGGCTGAGGGGGTTGGGGGTGGGTTGCGGTTACCAGAGTGACTGACACCTCACGAAAACGCAGGCAAAGACTTTTCAACGAGAACGGTGCTGGAGAAACTTAGCCGATCCGGCAGCATCCCGCAAACAAGAGTTAAGTCCAATGGCTTTTATCAGAGAGAGGATGATAGACAAACTGGGCTGATGATAAGCCAGAATGGAGTAGCTGCAGGAAGTGAGAGGATGTGTATAGGGTCCCAGCTGGGTGCGGGAGTCAGTCAGTCCATTATCTGGATATTGTGGGCAGCCCATCCTCAGAAACGGAAACAGATGTCAAGGATGGTGCTGGGACTGCAGGGTTTGAGGTTATAAGGAGATGCTGGGGCTGTTTTCCCTGGAGTGTCAGAGGGCTGACTTTATAGAGGCTTATAAAATCATGAGGGTCATGGATAGGGTGAAATAGACAAGGTCTTCCTTCCCCCCTCCCC